AGGTTTGGGACTCCTAGGGCAGTGTGTTAGCCACTAGACAATGTTGCCTGTCATAAGGAAGGGTTGCTGCATTTAAAATCAGTTCACTGAATCAGGTGGTTTTAACTGGTGGAAACATTTCCTGAAGAATAAATTAGGTTTGGGATCATTTCAAGCATTGCATCTTTGACACTCTCTGTTTAGATTACATGAAGAATTAGAGATGAGGGACAAAGTCCAATTAAATAACCTGGACTAATTATCACACACACACACACACACTTTTCTCCAGTAAAGATAATTAGGCCTTTGGAGATTAATAGCTAAATATCCACTACTGGTCAGATTTGTTTAGCTCTAGAAATGGGTGGTCTCTCTTTAGGACAATGTGGACATTTTATTTTAGCACTTCTTTTAATGTCATGTCAGATGTTTTCCAGTCAAACCTTAGCGATGGTTTTGAAATGTATGGTCAGTAAAATGTGGATCTTAATTCCCCCCCCCCCCTAACAAATTGCTTGTGTTGATAGCTCTTCCCCCCCCCCCCCCGCTTCATAAACTAAAATGTAATGGTTCCAAATGGTTAAATAAAGACCTTCCGTAGCTTTTAAGGAATTTCTCAGCTCTCATGCTGACAAATTTCCTTGTACAATATATGGCATGTGAATTTATTTCATTTACGCAAATTATTTTACATAAGAAGAGCCTCTTAAGAGATGGGCCATCTGTCTCTCTCTTCTCCCCCCCCCCCTTTTTTTTTTTTTAATTGAGGACATATTGGGTACATTTCAAATTAAGGTCCTATTTATAAATTCTTGGACATGCTTATATTCTTTTAATAGCTCATTATAAAGAATGTTATAAAATGCACTGGTAATAACCTCTTCACAGATGTTAAAACTAGCTATAAAAAGATATTTTATAACATGCAACTATTGGCAGGAAAAGAAGCCCACTATAAAATATTATATACGTTTGTTTAATTATCTGCCCCCCATCACCATTAGTGTCTGAGCACCTCACAATCTTTGAATGTATTTCTCCATACAACCTCCCACCGTGAAGTAGGGCGATGTTTTGCAGTTAGGGAATTGAGGCACAGAGAGGCTAAGTGACTTGCCAGAGTCTGTAGTGGAGCCGGGATTTGATCCATCTTCCAAGTCCTAGAGTAGCGCCCTACCCACAAAAGCCTATCTTATTCAGCCTTTGCTCATGCTGGTAAGCTTTCGCTCATGTGAACAGTCCCATTGACTTCAGTGGAACTACTCATGTAAGTAAGTGCTCACCAACATGAATAACGGTTGCGTAATCTGTTTCAATGTCATTGTAAATGGAAGCTTAATATAAGAATTAGATAAGTTCATGGAGGATAGGTCCATCAAAGGCTATTAGCCAAGATGGTAAAGGATACAAACCCATGCTCTGGTGTCCCTAAGCCTCGGACTGCCAAATACTGGGAATGGGCAACAGGGGATGGATCACTTGATGATTGCCCTCTTCTGTTCATTCCCTCTGAAGCATCTGGCATTGGCCATGGTCAGAAGACAGAATACTGGGCTAGGTGGACCTTAGGTCTGACCCGGTATGGCCTTTCTTGTGTTCTTATTTAAGTATTTATTAACATGACAATAACATACATGGAAGTAAAAACCTTAAGTTCTGTGAAACAATATTTAAATTGCTGTCAATATGCATCTAAGAAAAAAGGTTGCTTGTCGAATTCTTGATTTAGTTAATTGATGTCTGGAATACTTATTCTGTACAGAGAACAACAAATCACCTTGATTTTACTGGGTAGGCTAAAAAAGAATGAATTGTTAGACACCTGTTGTTGTCTTGTACCATGTTGTTCAGGACAGTGAGGTGTCATTGGGGTCTGTAGTACCATTACAGAGCAGGAGGAGACCGAGATTAAATGGACTTCTCATTTTCCATGTAACATGAGAGAGCTTTACAGTTTCCATATTAAGTTAGGTTTTGAAATTGGGTTAATGAATAAGGGTATCATCTTGCATTACTTATGTGTCTGAAAACCCCATTGAAAGGGTGCCCAGGGATGGCAGAATTGGGGTCCCTAAAGAGCCCTTCAGAGTTACTGCAAACCCTTACTTATGCAAGTATCAGGGTCCCTGTTATTATGGGGCCAATCCTGCAAATTGCAGAGTGCCACCTACTAATATTGAGCCCCCACAATGCTCGTGGGCCAGTTATTGTGAAGCACATCTCCAGTGAAGTAAAGGGTCTGGCCCATAGAGGCCAGTTGCCGTTAAGCAGCTCGCTATCTTCCAGGATCAGGCTCTGAGCCTGTAACTGACCAATGAGAGTATCGTTACCTGCCCCTGGCGCTGGGGACTGGCTGCATGAGAAATCCAGACTTCCCCAGGAGAGAGCTTCACTCGGAAGGTCAGGAGTGATTGTATTGTTTGTGCAATCTGTAAACAAGTAATTGTTCTGCTGCTGAAAGTATTGCCACACCCGCTGGGTGATGCAAGAACCAGCATTAAAATCTGCCCAGGGGAACATTACTTATATGGAAAACAGGCACAGAACCCAGTTTCGGGACTAAAATCTTGGAATTTCTTTTAACCTAATCAGGTGAGATTTATTTTTTCCTATTCTTTCTCTTATTGACATGAAGCAGTTAGTCTCAGCCCCATGATTGGATTGTGTTAATCCCGTCCCCACAAACAACCCCATTCTTTCAAGAAGTTTTGCATCCAGATAGCATGGGGAAGCCTTGAATTATGCTAGTGGCAGTGTCCTCGTTCTTTCTCTATCTAGTGACTGCAAATTGGAATAACCCATACTTTGTTTTTCTTTAATCAGTAAAGTAAACACAGAGCAATAAAATTTGTATTTGCTTCTAGACAAACCTTCAGGATATTATAAAATAAAGATAGTAAATTTGAGTACGAAACAGGTATGATCTAAAAACCAAGTAGTATTGTGTTGTATTGTTTTCTGAAAGGGCAATGTAAAAATATATCTATCTAATTTGAAATGGACAAACATGTATTGGACACAAAACACGTCAGTCATTCTCTCTCGTATTTAAAAAAAATCCCTGAATCTTTTTAAATAAAACTTTGAGATAAGTTTATTTTTTTCTTCACTCGTATTTATAGAAGAAATTATTAATAAAGACAATAGATCTTTGTCTTCAGATGCCACTCTACTAAAAACTGTTTTTGAATAGAGTTGCTGCATTGTATGGATGCAGGCACATGCTAATACTCTCCATGCTGGTCAAACAAGGGAGAGGAAGAAAGTGATTAATTTGTAGCTTGTTATCCTGATATTACTTTAAGTCCAACGATTTCTCTGTTTTTTCTGACTGCAAACTGAACAGCAAAGGATAAGCATTGCAAACCATGGGCTTTCCTGCTCTGAGCATCAGCCACTGAAAGGCACCTGCTCAGGCACATGCTTTAATGACCCCAGAGATGCTATGCCCTCCAAAGGAAGGGTGTAATTTTGTATTTCTTAAAAGCAAATTCCTAATTGTTCCCATTGCATAGCAAAATAAGAAAAGTGGTGGTAGAAAATAAGAAAAGGTCATTTTGATCACTCAGTAGGCAAAGAGCACATTATTATGGGCACTGACAAATTACACACTGTGTCATATTTCTGATAGTGGAAGGTCAAGTTGAGCCCGGGGTAGGAGAGAGAACCAATATAAACAATAAAAGCAAAGGGACTTGAATTTTTATGAGATGAAATTTTCAGCTCATTATTTTATGGAACACATGTCAATAAAGCTATTAGAGTTTCTCTGCCGAACAATTTCTTGAAAATGCAGCTTCTGGAAAAACACACATTTATCAGCACGAGATCTGGTGACTGTCAGCAACTAGTCCCAATAGCAGACCCGGCGAATAATGCGCTCCATTGTCAAAATGCAGCCGTATGCGATCCTGCGGAACCTCTGTTCTTTAGATCCAGGGTGACGCTACTAATGTTGCAGTTAATTCAAACTGGGAACGTGCAAGGTTGTCATAATTGCAACTTGGTTTCAGTAAATGGGGGGTGCTTACTCCCCAGCCATCTCCTACCACTCCCCACCCTGAAACTGAACTGGGGTGGGGGTGTGGATGTGTGATGCTGTCTCTGAACAGCTGGGATTTGGCCAGATGGGGAAATACTGTAGTTCTTATGGTATTTCTGTTTCAACTGGACACCAAATGCACCAGGAAATTTTCTAAGAAAGCCTTTTTAATGAGATTTCCAGCCCAATTCTGCAGGCACCAGAGGTTTGAGTAATTCCTGAAATGCATCTGAACGTGTGGGGCTCCAATAGCCCAGGGAGAATTCCCCCTGTGCTGGGGAAGTCTTCTCTGCATCCTGCACCGGCCCCACCCACATCATAAGTGGGAGAAGCGGGCATGACAATGGGTGGGTGGGGAGGTGGCCCAGCAGAATGGAGCTCTGTTATGCCTGCATATAAGTTACAGCTGCATGGAGCAGCTCTATCTTGCACTGGAGCCAGGTGGCTGAGGAACAGGGAGAGAACAAATGGCTTTCTGCAACGCTTAGGTGGGACGGCGAATCTGCCCCTTCGTGTTTACCTGATGGAATAAGAGACTGAAGTCAAAGGGCCTGATCCAAACCTTATTGGCAGGACAGGAAGCAGACAATGTTTCAGGTGATCATGGGATCATAATGCCATTCCTAGGTCCTAGTGGGGTGTGGAGCCATTCCCAATCCCTAGAACTTGCTTGGTGGCTGGGCAGCCTTATGGATCTAAGTCACTACGTATATGATCAAATACTGTATTCACCGCATTTATTATTTTTGAATGGAATGATCTCTGCATAGAGTTAATCCAATGATCTTTCAAAACTGCCTTGTGATGTTTTCTCTGTATACTTGAAAACAGTTTAACTAGCTCTCCAATACTTTGCTGCCTTTTGACACCCATTGCACTGTAGATGGCACTGTAAAGCAATGATTTTGTTGACAGAAATCTATTAAACATCACCATTCCAAACTCTAATTGCTGTCTAATCTGGTTTCCTCTGCAGGTCCCCAGAGTGAAGGGAAATTTCTGAAATGCAGAAATGCTTGTTTGTAGCTGCAAATGGGAATTTGGAATAACTGTGAAAATCGCACTGAAATAATTGTGTTTGACTGGAACAAAATTCTTGCAAAGTCCCCAAGGTAAGACAACTTTTTATCTTTAGAATTGGCAATGAAGATTTGCGGTTCTGGTTAGCAGTAATGCCCATTTAACTCTGTCTGAGGGAACAGGCGAATGAATGTATGCAAATGTAACATTTTTGAGAAAGTTATCCCGCTGACATCACCTGCTGCTAAATGTGGTGAAATGCTCACCTCCTATTACATAGTGTCCATCTAACTTCAGTTTTTTTTCTTTTAAAAGAAAAAAATTGCTATCTTTATACTAGTGAGTTGTAGACAACACCTTAGTCATTTTCTTCTTCATGCAAAGGTTGTAGTGCTTTAACTACACAGGTATAGTTAAATTGGTACAACACCCCCAGTGTCAAGGCATTTATACCAGTCTAAAGGTGCTTTCTATTGGTACAGCTGTTTCTATATGATGATTGGAATAAGCTATACTGGTATAAGGTGTCTTTTATACCAGTATAATTGCATCCATAGTACTGGTTGTACCAGTACAACTATATTAGTAAAAAACCAACTCCCTAAAGAAAATAGTTATATTGGTACAAAAACTATGTGTAGGCCAGGCCTTAGTGAATGAGTTTGTCTAATATTGGTCGAGAGGGCCGTGAACTGAAATCCTGGATTCACTCCTCTGACCTTTGCAGGGGTTCCATATCCACACCTACAACCCAGGCTCCCCTCTCTAGATCAGTACATTTAAGAACTGTTGCCTTTTTTAGAGGGTAATTGCATGGCACCACGGGAAGCAAACTGCTCCTCCCTGCACTGCCGAAAACGTGGCAGGTTGCTGGGGCCAGATTTTCAGCAGAGTCCAGCACTCCTAATTGGAGCCAGCTTTTTAAAAGAGCTCAACTTCCATTTAAGCACCTAAATAAGGGCTAGGTTTTCAAAAGTGCTCATCACCCATCAGCTTCCATTGAAAACAATGGAGAATCGGCCTCCTCCCTCAGTGAGAACAATGGCAGCTACCGGACCCAGAACTCTTTGGAACATTATTTAGCTGTCCAAATGAGGTATTAAACACTTTCAAAAATCTGCCTCCTTGTGCCTGATTTTCAGATGTTGGAGGCTCCCCTTAACTTCGTCTGGAGTTATGGGTGCCCAGCAGTTCTGAAAATCAGGCTCCAAATGTTTAAATTCTAAGGGTCTAACTCTGCTTTCAATTCCACTGCTGTGTATCTGAAGGAACACCACTGGCTTCAGTAGTGTTCCTTCAGATTTACACCAGGGAAACTGAGGTCTGAATTGGGTTTGCGGCAGATAGTTTGGTCTGTTTCCAACACTTACGCTCAGAACAATTGAGCGATGTTGATGACAAGAATAACAGCCTATATCCAAGCTGTATTCTTTTGTGTGCATTACTAAACTCTGTGTTAATCACGGGCTCCAGAGCGTGCATTCAGGGGCATGTGAAGCAAGGGAAGTATTAAGGTGAAATTCTGCTCTCGGTTAGGCCGTGATTCCCCTTCGATGGCTATGGGGATAAATGAGAGAAGGCTCTGGCCCATAGTCATCTTGGCAGAGGTAAGCGGATTCCAAAGCCTATCTGGGTAGGTTGGTTGTTGGGGTTTTCTTTTTTTTCCTGATTGCCATAGACTTCAACCAGGATCAGGCCCTAGCCGAAACCATTGCTAATCCCCCTTACAACAGATTTAATGGAGTTGCTGGATTCGGACTGGTTTCAGTGAGAGGTGACTCAAGCCCAGACTGATCTGCTGAAATGGAGCTCCTCCAAGTTAACAGCTGGCCCAGTCCTGAAATGAGTTTCACATGTGGAGTACTGCCAGGGCATGGCCCCCTGCGAGCCTCCATTTTGCGTGTCTGATCCTCATTTACTCCATTGTAGCAGTGTAAAAGGGCCTTAGTGTCAATGGGAGTCAGGCCCTTTGTGGTTTTCCCCCTTCATAGTTTTGTTTGCACAGGGTAACCACATGCTGGCTGCTAACGGCAGGTAGTTGCTTATGATAGGCAGACATCTCCTTTCCTTTCAAGAAGATTTTAAAATCTTGTCTGGCTGCTTTAAGTACTGTGACAAAGTGCCTCCTCTATCTTGGTGGTGGGTCCTGCGCTTATTGGTGGATTTTCTTGCCTCAGAGATTCACCGTGTGGGTTGCAGAACAGCCCAGAGACCTTCCCCTCTGGAAGAAACCACAGTCCAGGTCAATTGGGAGATTTGGGGGGAACCCAGGCCCGCCCTCTACTCCGGGTTCCAGCCCAGGGCCCTGTGGACTGCAGCTGTCTATAGTGCCTCCTGTAACAGCTGCATGACATCTACAACTCCCTGGGCTACTTCCCCATGGCCTCCTCCAAACACCTTCCTTATTCTCACCACAGGGCCTTCCTCCTGGTGTCTGATAACGCTTGTGCTCCTCAGTCCTCCAGCAGCACAGCACACCCTCTCACTCTCAGCTCCTCACACTCGCACCAGAAACTGAAGTGAGCTCCTTTTTAAAACCCAGGTGCCCTGATTAGCCTGCCTTAATTGATTCTAGCAGGTTCCTGATTACTCTAGTGCAGCCCCTGCTCTGGTCACTCAGGGAACAGAAAACTACTCATCCAGTGACCAGTATATTTGCCCTCTACCAGACTCCTGTACCCCACTGGTCTGGGTCTGTCACAGTACAACATAATTTTCTTAAATCAATAGCCACCATTTACTTTTTAAATAGTCACCGTACAACAAAGACGCTGCAAGGACCCCTGAACATGCACCCATGTGGCTGTTTTCTTCACCAATGTATTTTTTTCTCAATCATAAGATAATGGGTGTTGCTAAAATATATTTACAACAGGCTCTTAGCCTGATAGTTTGTGATATTACAAAGTGCTCCTGTGAGCTGTTTGGGCAGTACCAATATTGCCACTAATGAACAAGCGGAGAAGGAAAGCACTTTATAATGCAGGAAAGGAAAAAGAGGCAAGCCGTTCTAAATGAGAAAACATGAGATCTGGTTTTTGATGGTGTGTATGTCTTTTAAATGTTTAAAATCAAATGGAAATGCTTCCTGAAGCCGTTACAGTAGAGGTAAACATTTTGTGAGGTCTCCTCTTTATATTTTTTGTAAACGTTCAGAATGTTCACCCACTTGCACGATCTGATTAGCCTAACAGTTTGAGGTACTTTATAATCAAACAAGCAAGCGCCCTTGCAATTGCATCAGGAAAGCTGAACTGAAATCTGCCAAAAAAAAAGAGTACACCTCTACCCCGATATAACACGACCTGATATAACATGACTTCGGATATAACGCGGTAAAGCAGGGCTCTGGGGGGGGCGGGGCTGTGCACTCCGGCGGATCAAAGCAAGTTTGATATAACGCAGTTTCACCTATAACACAGTAAGATTTTTTTGGCTCCCGAGGACAGCGTTATATCGGGGTAGAGGTGTACCATATAGTTTTGTTTTGTTCATTTTTTGAGAGTGGTGTTTTGGTATCAATAAGAATGCTCCAGGTAGACTTTTTTCCAAATCCCAGCATGCTGGTTAACTGCAGATCAGGAGTCGCTGCTATGAAAACAGCATTTAGTTCAATTTATGCACATCCATAAACTATTTTTAATTAGTTTGAGACATTCTCGCATACAGCATTTGCTGAAAAGATGGAATCTAAGGGTACAAGTGCAAAGCGCACTCTTGGGTACTTTGTATAAATAATACATCATCATAATTCAATTTAAGAAAATGATCACATTACCTTTCCACATGATGAATGCAACTGGGGAAGCCATGGCAGAGCAATGAAAGCCGGGAAGACCTGAGCTCTAACGCTGCCTTCCACTGGGCCTGATTCTGCCACCCTTACATGGTAATGTTTCTTACTCCTCGAATAGTCCCATTGATTTCCATGGAATGAGCTGCGGAATGAGTTGCTACTCAGCATGAATGAGAATACAGGAATCTGCCCATTATATTGCAGCAGTGCTGAGAGGAGCAGTTCCCCAACACCTTGACGTGGTAGGCAATGCTCGCAAAGCAGATTGTGGCCAGATTTCCACCCGGGGTCAGCCCCCAGCAGCCCCCATTATGCTCAGTGGGAGCTGTTGTATGTCGAGCCATTGTACAAACTTAGCTACTTCACCTAGGTGTCTAAATAGGAGCTGAGCTTTGTTTTGAAAATCCATCCTGAAAATTATTAGAGGGATTTTCCTGTTCTGTTTCTGAATCTGAGCTGGGTCCAGTTTAAGACCCTCACCTGCTCCAAGTGACATTCAGTCTGTCTATATTTAAATGGAAGGTTGCTTTGAGTATGTGAACGTGCAAGGTTCTTACTCTTCAACCTCAGATTTACAGAACCTAATGAAGTCACATAAGAACATGCATTGGGGGGGGGGTCAATCACCACTGCAGCGCTTCTAATTACGAAACACACTTGGCAAGGAATTGATCCCAACCCGAGTGTGAATTTGATTTTTGTCAGTATTACCTGGTAATAAACCATTTCAGTCACTCGTCAGCGTCTTTTCAGCTTTCCTCTTCCCAGCAGCATTTTTACACGGGTCCCTAGTTATATTGTTCTTTCACTCAGTTGCTTTCTTTTCTGCCTACAGGATGAGATTCTGTGCCAAATCAATGCTTCTATCTCACTGGCTCTTTCTGGTCTATGTGTTAATGGCGTGCTGTAAATTGTTGTCCGCTTCTAGCCACCATCCCCGAGGGCACACAGGTAGGAGCTTTTAAACTCATTACATGCCACTGAGACCAATTAATAACACTTGCAGAATGTTAGAGTCCACTTTTTAGCCATGGATAATTGATGAAGCTGTTGACAATGTGTTATAATCAGTGCGAAAGGTTAAAATAACAGCAAAAAAGAGTTGTTGTAATTTTATGTGGTGCCGTTCACAAGGCAGTTTTGGAGCAACTTCACAGCTGCTAAGATTTTTGGGACTTATTCTTATCATTCTTCTTTTCTTTTTTAAATCTTAAAGAGTTATTCATATTGTTTCTGTTCTGAAGTATAGCTTCAACTTCCTCCTGTTAATGTAGGCCCTTATCAATGGAAAGATTCCCATTGGCTCAGGCCCGTAGTGCTACCTGAGTCAGTCCTTCCATTAAATTATCCATACCCTTCTTGTTAAATTAATCCTTACTGGATATTATCCATTTCCCTAGCATGGATATTGAGGCAAACAGTGAAAAGATGATTGAATCTGAAGAGGAAGTTGTTTTCTTGCAATGTTAGATGGTAGCACTCTTCTCTCTCTAGATGAGAACCTCAAGTCTGCTCAAGTCTGATGCCCAGACTTGGGCTCATACCCAGTGCTAACTCTAGGGTGACCAGACAGCAAGTGTGAAAATCAGGACAGAGGGTGGGGGGTAATAGGAGCCTATATAAGAAAAAGCCCCCAATATCGGGACTGTCCCTATAAAATCGGGACATCTGGTCACCCTAACTAACTCTGCTGTTCAGTACTAGAAAGCGGAGCTTCATTTGTTAGAGGTTCCATCTTTCAGGTGAAACAATACGTTGATGTTCTTCCTAGCCTCCTCCCATGACTTGTCCAGGTGGAAGCTAAAGGATCCCTGTGGTCTTGCCAAATCCCCTTCTCTATTTAAAAAAAGTTCCAGGAATCAGGGTCCTATATGAACTCCATACAGCTGCTGTATTTGTCTACATGCTCATGCTAATCAGCATTGTTGCATCTTGAAGAGTTGCACAAAGCACTAACTTGGATTTGTACTATAAATAACTAACATTCAGCCGCCACCCAGTTATCACTTGGGGTTCTCCAACATTGTGAATCCTCTTTATCAGGCTGCTATGTGTTTACCTGGCACTGTGTTTGCAACTTGAAAACATTGAGCGCACTGATTGATTCATGAGCTATTGCAATTTAACCTTTCTGTTGCACAGAAAAGGTCTCGGGCTCACTTTGATGCCTTGAGTAGTAGGATTTATGGGAAATTAAACAGCAAAGAAACGGTAAACATTGGTTATTTTAGGACAGATATTTGCTGGGGAAAACTGACATAGCTCCAGTCACGTCAGTAGGAATGAACTGATTTATACTAGCTGAGGCTGGGGCCTACTATGTATAGTTTGATGTAAATCTGATCTGAAATGGAAGTGATAGCTTGGTAGTACATGTGCTGGAAGAGCTTGGTTGTTGCTGCTTGCACCAACTGATAGATGACATTCTAATTCGGTAAGATACACTGTAAAATGTTCTGTACATGGCTAAAAAGTTTCAGCACTACTCCAGTCAATTGAACACCAGAGGATGATCTAGTGCTACCCTTGTCTCCCAGATAGCCCTTTTGCTCCTCTGTGGAAATGACTCGAGTCACACATTACAGGGGAAAGATTGGTTACAGACAATTGCACGTTGACCGAGGGAGGATTGGATGCAGACAATTGAGTGTGGCCGTTCCTGAAAACGGTCATTCCTGAGCAGCGGGTTCCTGATCCGACACCACCGTTGAATTTTCTTTCTTGAATGCAACAAAATTAGCAGTCGGAAAACACCCTTCTATAGATGTTGTCATTCAACCAAGAATTCAATCACAGCCTTGTAAAAATTAGGTTTTTTTTCATGCCTTTTAAACTGCACTTTACATACAATCCCAAGGGAAATACCTGTGACAGGAAGAGAACATCTATTATGTGTATGCATGATGGGTGTTTATGAAACAGTACAAATGATGGTATTCTTTTCACTTTACATGTCAGAATACTTAATTGCATATTTTGAGTTGACAAAAATTTTTTCTCTCCGTATCAAGCAGCTATTGTAGAGTATAAACAACCTACTTGAAAATTACATAAATCTGCTTTAGTGGATCCCTCTTGGGTAGGTCCAAGACGCATACAACTAAGAGACTCTTAAACTTTTGCTTCTTATGATAAATTAGGCCAAAATCTGTGGTGCGTACTCAGGCAGAGCTCCCTTTCAACTGGAATTTGACCTTTGTTTTATATAAGGCTGTATATTTAAGCGATTAAACTTATCTCTTAGTACAGAATTAATGACCCAATTCTTGGGTGGAGATCTAGGAAAACATCTGCTGTCAATAGGTTGCTTCCAAAGTGGCTGGGAGAAGGTGTTAACCCTGGAGGCACTCAAAGGGCATAAGAACGAATTCAAGCTTTCATCTCAATGCAGAAATCTTCCTTCTTCCCTTAGTCAAACAGCTGCAGTGTGTCGTTGACATGGGGAGATAAGAAATATGTCTCACTACAGTGACATTACAATGGAAATCTGAGCCAAAGTTAAAATGGCACTGTGTTGCTTACTAACTGAACACCATCAGTGTTCTGTGTTCAAGTTCCTGTATACCAGGAATGATCGACGATAAGAGACTCACAGATTAGACCTTGCTTCCCGACATTCTGCTCCCAAAGAGCTGTTTTTTAGTTTCAGTAACTTCTGAGGAGTTTGTACCTTCTCCCTCCAGCCCCAAAACAGCACCAGTGTTTTTTAAAAGTGATAGTGTAAGAGGAACCTTTTGCCAGTAGATAGTAATGTTCACAGTATCCCTTTAACCATACACCTCTACCCCGATATAACACAAATTCGGATGTAACGCAGTAAAGCGGTGCTCTGGGGGGGCGGGGCTGCGCACTCCGGTGGAATCAAAGCAAGTTCGATATAACACGGTTTCACCTATAACGCGGTAAGATTTTTTTTTTTGGCTCCCGAGGACAGCGGTCTATCGAGGTAGAGGTGTAATTTCACTTTAACGGGAGTGGACAGAGCTTGGTCTTGGTAGCCTCCAGAAGGAGAGGTTGCACACGTTCTGAGAAATGCTTATGCCCACTGAACAGGTAGCAATACAGCATGTTCATAGTATCCCCTAGGGCCTAGCTTTTCAAAAGAGACTAGTGGTTTTGGGTGCCCAATTTGAAACACCTTAAAAGGGCCTGATTTTCAGAAAGTGCTGAGCATCCACCCCTGAAAATCAGGCCCCTCAAGGTGTCTCAAGTCCCCAAAGCATTGATCACTTGTGAAAACGTAGATCCAGATACCAGTATTACTGAGGAAGTTGATTAATCCCTAATGCCAGGGGCTGGTAGGATTCAAGCTGGAAAACCCTGATAGTTTTTTTTCTCTTTTAAGACCCTGATGCAAGGAAAGACTCCCATTGACCTCACTGGTGTTGGTCTGGGCCATAAAGACTACGAAGTTCGACAGCTGTCTCACCAATACACAGCGTGCAGGCGTGCCTCTGTCCGTAAGAAGCCAGCAATCAGCAGAATGCTGTCAAAGCAGAGGTGCCCTGAAACATCTTGTCTGAGAAAAAGGATCTAGGCACTACAGTAATACAAAGACTAGAAAAGTCGAGGCTTAATCTTTGCACCCTCCTTCTGTACTGCCCCACTGCTCTGTCTCCCTTTGTTTTGCAAAACATCCTTCACTACTGGAAGGCGGCAACACAGAACAGACCGTCAAGATACAATGCATTAAAACTAGAAATCCTAAGATCCTGATCTTGACCCCAACGTAGAGGTTTGGGCTCGTTTGTAATTTAAAATAGTGTAAGCCGTTTGACATACATTTCGAAAACATGCTTTAAAACCGTGGTAAATAAGCACTGAACAGGAAGAAATATTCCTATACTGTGCTGGAATGGGGTGAGGCCACTTTTAGTATAACAAAGGTATCGTTTCCGTCTTTGTTTAGCAGTCACAGATGACAAGTTAGAATGTGTGGAATAAATACTTTCTCAGGTAACAGCCAACTTGTAGGCAAGATTTCCAGGGCAATTATTTCTTTATTTTTGTGGGTGTGCTGCCTCTGTCACAAGCCAACTGAGTAGCTTTGGCTTTCTTCACGCTATGCCTTATTCCTTTGCTACAATAGCTACCTGAAATGCTCCCAACCTGGGTCTGCTTGCAAGTGGTTGGATACTGTGACTAAATAATACTTGTTCTTACCCAGCCAAATGTATGTATTTAATACCAATTTAGAATCTGTTGGGTTGTGAATGCCAGAGAGAAGGGTTCATAGTTTGAGCCACTTGTTAGGAGCAGGGCTCTCTGCCACTGCTGCTTCTGCAAAGCTGTTTTGTAATTTGTTGCAATAATCAATTTGTAAGCAGCTAGCGGATAATAGGGTTCTAAGGAATAGCCAACATGGATTTGTCAAGAAGAGGACCCAGTGGACCTAGACCATCTCTGAACTACATACTTTTTCAGAGTAGCAGCCGTGTTAGTCTGTATCCGCAAGAAGAACAGGAGTACTTGTGGCACCTTAGAGACTAACAAATTTATTTGAGCATAAGTTTTCGTGGACTACAGCCCACTTCATCGGATGCATAGACTGGAACATCTAGTAAGGAGACATATATATACACATACAGAACATGAAAAGGTGGAAGTAGCCATACCAACTCTAAGAGGCTAATTAATTGAGATGAGCTATTATCAGCAGGAGGGAAAGAAAAACGAAACTTTTTTGTTGTGATAATCAAGATGGCCCATTTTCAGACACCTCATTCTAACTTGTCAGCTATGTCCATGTACCCGCCCCATTAAAGGGGGAAGGGCTGCGGTCCTGCTTCCATCTCTTTCTCCCCCTGCACACCTACTCCCACCCCCCAAAAATTGGATTTTTGGAATAACAGGTGACTGGATACTGGTTTGGTTACAGAATGTGAAGGAGGTTTTGTCTAGAGATGGATCAGGATCAGACCCACAGATCTGGGCAAGGGGAATGTGTGACT